GGAAGGAGGGGGGTACCGATTGCAATGAATGGCACATAAACACACACACACACACACACACACACACACACACACACACTCACACAGACACCGATAGAGGGAAGAACAACAGAAACTAGAGGGGAAGGGAGACAGCGGTCAGTATGAGATTTAAAAGTGTGGTTTTATATTTCTAATTCTCTGTACTATAAACCAAAAATCAAGCTCACTACCCTCCAGTTGATCCAGACTCATTAAGATCAATCAATAATTGTTTCTTGGGAAAGTTCTTACAGCATCAATAACCTAAGAGGATGATCCACTTCCCACCTAACATAATCCTTAAGAATTTTGTTGAAGTTATACAGGTTGGAGAGCAGTTTTGTAAGTTTTTAAGCTTCTGCTTGTTTCTCTAAAAGCAAAGTGTACAGTTAAAAGGTGCAGTATTTATATACTTTCTTACAGGTAATCTAATGCTTACACACTGTGGTTTTAGGACTCTCAAATTCAGTTCACTTCTATGTACTCTCTTTCCTTCACTTCTTTCTCCAGAGTCATTAGGAATGCTTTCAGAAAAATAAAGTACATGCTCCGACATACCAATAATGTATCTTTAATATAATGCTCCCTAGGGTTTTTTCTATTAAATCTCAAAATAACAAAGGAAACATGACTTCTAGCAATATAAGAGAAAATCATAGCTTTCTTCCTGTGTCTCCTGTTTTCAAGGTCACTGAAAAGAATTTGAAAAGAATGCACTTTTATAACCTGTCTTGATTTCTATAACTGTTAGTTTGCATCCCTTACAAAGCAATGGCAGTGTGAATCACTTACTTAATTTTCATTATTTGTTAATGTAGTAAAAAGAGAGATTTTTTTAAATAGATAACAACCTATGAATAAAGAGTGTCGATTAGTTCATAAGGGAGGATTTCAATAACAAACAAGAAACTATTGCACAGTAGAGTTCACTGTTTTACTTAATCTTTTTTTTCTATTTATGCTCCTCTTTTTTATATAAATTATAGAGCATATAGATTATAGTCACTATTTGGACAATCATTTGCATATGTTCACAGAAAGAGAAATAGTGACTTTTGACTCTTTGAAACAATATTTCTTTTTAAGCAATGTATCTGGCAAATAGGACCTAAATATTGAAAATCATTTCAATGCTTTATCTGCCAACTTTTAGAAATGTTTTAGCCTTGAATTCAATCAGACTCAAAATGTGAGCTTTCTGCAAACTCACCTCAGAACAATTTTAACACTCAGCTGTGTAAGAAATGTTTTGATTCTTCAATGTTCAGGTCAATATGATACCCTGTTTCCCTGGAAATAAGACAGTGCCCTATATTAATTTTTGCTCCCAAAGATGTTCTAGGTCTTATATTCAGGGGATGTCTCATTTTTCCATGAAGAAGAATACGGTACACATTTATTGTTGAACCCCCCAAAAAAGGAAATTTATTACCTGTATGTGGTACAGTAGGAGTTGTCATCACAAACCAGCATAACCAGACAAACTGTGAATCCTACAGTATCAAGAATTTCTTGTAACTACCATTATTTCCATGAACAACAATCTATGGTACATTTACTCATTTATCCAATGTCAGTCATGTTATCATCTCCTGGAACATCATCGTAACAATCCAAACCCTTATTTTTGGGGAGGTCTTATTTTCAGGGGGATGCCTTATAGTTCAGCAAGAGGCAAAACTGTAAGTAGGTCTTATTTTGGGGGGATGTCTTACTTTCGGGAAAACAGGGTATTACTCACAATAAAATTTTGATATTAATGTCTCCTAAAATGAGGGCAAGAGGAGCCTTGGTGGCATGGTGCTTGTGCATTAGGCTGCTGACACCACAGTCCGCAGCGGGGAACCATCAGCCTCCCTAAAGGAGATTGACGAGCTTTTCTGTGTCCCAAAGAATTGCAGTCTCAGAAACCCAGGACAGCACTTCGATCCTGGCCTATAGTGAGTCACTGGAAGTCAGAGTCGACTGCACAGCAGGGAGTGTGGGCTTTCTGAAGACTAAAGAGCAACATTTGAATGCTTATCAAATATGTATATATGATCTGTATATGTATATATTGCTAATTTGAAATTATGTATATATTTATGTTGCATTTTATTTACATTTATAAGTGAAATCAATGACTGCTCTTTCATTTTTCTCTTTGTACAATTTATATTAGCATTTTGATGCTGTTGTAAGTATTTAATTTTTTTAAAAGTATTTAATTTTCATATATTTTCCATGCTTGGTAAGAATGAATTAAGGAAGGAATTTGCGGTTCTCTAAAGATATGCTACAGGTCACTCTTAAAATATTCAAATTTCTACCAATTTTGGATGTGTAATTCTGATTAGAATCTGTATTAGTCGAGGTACTTTGGAGAAACAAAACCACAGCAACTCATGTATAAGAGAGAGTTTTATGTAAAGAAAATGTGCATCACGAAAACATCCCAACCCAATGCTGCCCAAGCCCACAAGTCCAACATTAACCCATTAACCCAACACCAGTCCACAAAGTCCTCCTCCTCACAAAACAGAGGCAATGATGCCTACTGCAGGAGGAAAGCTGAGTCAGTGAACGAACAAGCATCTCAGCACTAGCAGGGGTCTCCACACGGCTGCTCCAGCACCCAGGGCTGCATCGGGATAGGTCCATGTAGCTTCTCCTTGGATATGTCTTGTAGGAAGTCAATTTGCAAGCTGAAGCAGGGAACTGCTAAGGCAGCTGCACGTGGTGCAACCATCACAAAACAAGAGACCGAGAACTAGAAAGCTGAGGCTTCACCACCCATTTATCCCTCCGCCTTTCAACCAGCCCCACATGTGATTATCGGCCAGGCTGGCGCAATTAACTAACTCAGAATCTTTAG